AGCATTAGCGTCATGTGACCTCAGGTTTCTTCTGGCTCGGCTGGGTTTTGCATTTCTCTGGCTGGATCAAACAGATGATTTGTCCACAGTTGATATCCACAGTATCGACAACCAGCTGTGCTGCTCCAGCTTCAATATTCCCGGCATCCTGCTGTGAGCTGCAAATCAATGCCAATCACTACAGTACAGTGGTGTTAGAATGAAAATCCCCCCAGCTTATTTATCTGCTGGAGGTTCAATATCTGCATATTGTGAACAGCCTTCTCGATTTCTGCATTATGCAACCAGAAAAAATTAGTTTTAATACATACCACCAGGGCCGTCCTTAGGGGGGTGCAACTGGTGCGGTCGCACCAGGCCCCGAGCTTGAGGGGGCCCTGCGGTGAACGGTCCAACGTTCAAGACAGCATGCTAGACACGGAAACACACAGGGCTTAAATCATAGGACTAATCAAGGAAACTAATGAGGGAACACCTAGAATCAATAAACAATCAAACATGAGGGAAAACTGGGTCATGGAGCATGTGGGGGAGGAGAACACAACACAAGACAGGAACAGAGTCGGACATTATTCCCCCCTCCCAGAAGGCGTGTCCACACACCTCATAACAACCAACGGGGAGGGGGGATGGACACTCTGGAGGCCTCTCAGGACAGGCTTCCAGGGACGGACGGCTTCCAGGGACGGACGGCCTCCAGGGCGGTACCTGTTCCGGGACCCATGGCGGATCAGGCAGCTCGGGGCGCCATGGCGGAGCAGGCAGACTAGGAGGCCATGGCGGAGCAGGCAGACTAGGGGCGCCATGGCGGAGCAGGCAGACTAGGCGGCCATGGCGGAGCAGGCAGACTAGGCGACCATGGCGGAGCAGGCAGACTAGGGGCGCCATGGCGGAGCAGGCAGACTAGGAGGCCATGGCGGAGCAGGCAGACTAGGGGCGCCATGGCGGAACCGGCAGACTAGGAGGCCATGGCGGAGCCGGTAGACTAGGAGGCCATGGCGGAGCAGGCAGTTCAGGAGGCCATGGCGGAGTAGGGAGTTCCGGAGGCAATGGCGGAGTAGGGAGTTCAGGAGGCCATGGCGGAGTAGACAGTTCTCCAGACACCGGAGGATCCCTTCCCTCCAGCTTAGTCCCGTGGTGTCTGGGAGGTCCACGGGGGGATGGTAATTGGCCCCGTGCCAGAACAAAGAGTTGATGGTGGCGTCATCTAAAGCCGTCGCCGCGGCAAGCCCGCAGAACTCCCTGGCATACTCGACAAAGTGGAGATCACTACGGGCTAGCGCAAAGAAGCGTGCCGTTACTAGGGTGCTCAGGTGGTTGTTAAAGACATCACTAGGTGGCTATCAGGGTGGTTTCCAATGTTTTGTGGTTGCTATGTGTTTACCAGGGTGTATTGGTGGTTGCTAAGACATTACAGGATGCTTTGATTTCTAGAGTGTTGCTAGGTGGTTATTAGGGTGCTTTCTCATTGCTATGTGGTTACCGGAATGCTTTGGTGGTTGCTAAGGCATTACTAGGAGGTTACCAGGGTGCACATCTCTTTGGCCAAGCATTCAAATAATGCATCTCATAATCTTTTACTGCAGTTATATCTGATCAAATGCACATTATTATTCTTTAGTTTGGGTTAAACAAATCAATTTTGCTTGGTTGGAACAGCAGCTACGCTAATTATGTCTCTATTTGTTTCTCTGTTTTTTGCCACAAGCTTCAGTCTGGATCCAGAACACCTGAGAAGAGATGATGCCAACCCCTCAGAGGACCTCAGATGATGCCAACCCTGAAACAACATACAGAACTACCACATTTTGCTAGAAGTTTGATTGCATCATATAATAATTGCTGTTAATAGTGTTCATCGTCTGTTTTATTACGTTTAAATAGATTTTTTTGTACAT